TCAGCTCTTGTGGGGGGAAAAAGTTCTAAGTTTTTTTTTTTTTTGGAGATAGGGCCTCACTGTGAAACCTGGACTAAATTCAAACTCTCCAGCCCTCCAGCTTTACTTACCCTCCCACACTGAAATCCTGTACCAAAGCTCTTCCAGTCACCATGACCATTTTATGTCCCACTGGAAGGCCATACCTTCTTGTACTTTATATTATCTTTTTAAAAGATTTGCTTATTTTTATTTTATAAGTGTTTGCCTGTGTGTCTGTACTCTTGGAGACCAGAGAGGACGTTTGCCCTGGAACTGGAGTTACAGATGCTTGTGAGCTGCTGTGTAGGTGCCTGGAATCAAATCCAGGTCTTCTGCCACAGTAGCCGGAGCTCTTAACAGCTGAGCCATCTCTCTAGTTCCAATACCTCTTACATCTTTTAAAGTAGGCCTTACTGGAAAGGCCTTAAATCCCAGGGCATTTTCACTTTTATGCTACCCTATTATCCTCACAGAAAACCAGGAAGAAAATTCGGAGAGTTCCAAATCCCACAACCATTAAGAAATATGACAAAGACTTAACCTTACATCTCTGGCCTCAAGTCCAAAGCACCTTCCTGATGGTGGTTAACAGCTCAGGTTAAAGAGGGTGCCAGTTTGTTTTGTCAACTTGACACAAATCTATATACATCACGAAGAGGGAATCTCAAGGAATTGTTTCCTTCAGATTGGCTGCAGTCATGTCTGGGGGTATTGTCTTGATGTGATTGATGTGGGAGGGCTCTGCCCACGGTGGGTGGTGCCACCCTTGGGTAGGTGGTTCTGAGTAATATAGACCTTACACCAGTAAGCAACGTTCCTCCACTCCTGCCCGTTTCTGCATGAGCGCCTGCTCTGACTTCTCTCAATGATGAGTCCACCATTGGTCAGAATGTAGAAGTCAAATAGACCCTGTCCTCCCACAAGATGCTAGCTTTGGTCATGGTGCTTATCACAGTAATAGAAAGCAAACCAGGGTGAGGGTTATCCCGTCTTGCTGCTGCTGCTGGTCGGGCATGGTGTTGGATGCCGGCCGGCCTCGAAGACTCGCGGTGCTCAGGAGGAAGGTGACGGTAATGCTAACGCTGGCATACACGCTCAAGTGGGATGATGGTCTCAAAGGATCCCGGACATCAGCCTCCACTTGGAGGGATTCTGTGAGAGACAAGTTGCAGAACTTGAAACTAATTTACCCTATACAGGTAATGAACATTTTCCTGATCCAAGCAAGCATTATTGCTTTCAGCTAACGGTAAGCCCAGATGAGGGTTACTACCAGGGTGGAAAATTTCAGTTTGAAACTGAAGCTCCTGATGCCTACCTACTACATGGTGCCTCCCAAGGTGACATGCTTGACTAAAATCTGGCACCCCGGTGTCTCAGAAACAAGGGAAATATGTCTAAGTTTACTAAGAGAGCATTCAATTGATGGCACTGGCTGGGCTCCCACTAGGCCATTGAAGGATGTTTGGGGATTAAACTCAATTGAATTTTAATGATCCACTGAATATTGAAGCTGTTGAGCATCATTTACGAGACAAGGAGGGTTTCCAGGACAAAGTGGGTGAATACATCAAACGCTATGCCAGATGAAAGAGGAGAGATTGCAGGTCTGAGGACTGTCACAGTTGTCTCTGATGTGAAACAGCTCGAGGCAGCCCTCCTCCCCATCCTCATACTGTCAGCCCCTTGGGATTGTCCCAGTCTATCGACCACGTTGTCCTGAAGAAGACCATCCTCCTGACTACACAATGTGTCTGGACCTTGAGAGCATTGTCTGCTTCCCGTAACATGTTTACTGAAACTCTACTGTCTAGACTGTGGGATTCCTCTGAAGTTGTAATGAACTCACCATTGAGGATAGCGTTTGCTTACTTCCCCACCCCCCCCAACAAAACTGGTGTCCTATACAAGTGATGTAATGGCATGTTCGGTGTGACTGGCAGATTGACGATAAGAAACCCACTATAAACTGTGGAAAAAGAAAGGAGAAAGGCTACATTCTCTGACCCATTGCTATCCTGATGCCATCTGCCATTATGACCTCACAAAAGAACAAACTGAAAGGACTCCTGATCTTCAGTCTCCAAAACTGTGGGCTAAATAAATGTGTTATTCCTGACCTCGGGTGTCTTACTGTGCAATGGAAAATGGCTGCTGTGTCTTCCAGTAACTCGGGTTCAGGGGTCAGTGAGCATGGAGAAGTCAGTGGATTTGGCAGGATGCAGGGATAAGACTTCCCACTGAATCATGAAGCGTGCTCCTTGTCTGTCTGACTGTCATCACTGCTGTGACATGTGATCATGAGCCTAAGTCGCTGCTCACTGTGGAGAAATAAGTAAATACCATACCTAACTACATACAGGTAGCTGCAGCCTTCCACAGGGCTTCTGATCCACAGGGCACTCAAGGCAGAGGGAACACAGAACAGAAGCCAAGAGGTGGAATACTGCCACAAACCCCAGGGAGGGATGAGGGGGACAAAAACAAAGTCTGTTGTGCTATTGGGAAGAGAGCTAGAAGAGGGACTAAGGGTTATGAAAAGCCACAGATGCCAACCCAAAGCACCCCTAGTTCTTTGTAGGAAATAGCCACGGACAGTTTTTGAAAATGAGTGACCCGGGGTTAACTCTGTGCTTTAAAACATGGAGGAGTGTCAAAGTCAAAGGGGCAGCAGGGTTCCAGGACTGCAGCAGCCCAGGTACAGACAGTCCAAGCCAGAGCAGAGGGCATCGACCTGGAGAGAGAGGAGGGACGTCAGGCCGAAGAAGGTTTGGCAGGCAGGGTGTTAACGCAGAACTATCTCACTACAGGGTGTGATGCAAGGTACATTTGGAGCTTACTGGGCGTGTAGAGTGATATATGGTGACCTGAGAGTCGGGTGGGGTGGGGTGGGGGACAATGACAAGGTGTATAGTTGAGTATTCTTTAGTGGTTTCTTTCCTTGCTTTCTATATTTCCATTTTGCACTGAGCTATTCGGATAATGCAGTAAGCCCCGAATCTGTGTAAGTGTTGCCTCCCTCTCCATCTGTCTGGGTCACTGTTTCTGTGAAGAGACACAGTCACTAACTTATGGGAGGCAGTACTTAATCGGGGGCTGGCTTACAGTTTCAGAGGGCAAGGCCCTGGGCTCCAGCCCTTAGCAGGGCAAAACAATGCAACTGACTGCAAAACACCTATCCCTTTAACATTTCTGTTAGATTTGTTCATTTTATTGTATGCATGTTTTACCTGCATGTATGTCTGTGCACTGTGTGTGTGCTTGTGACCATGGAGGTCAGAAGAGGACATCAGATTCCCTGGAATTGAGTTCCAGATGGTTGTGAGCCACGATGTGGTCCTCTGCAAGAGCAACAAGCACCCTTAACTTCTCCAAGCCCCAAAGGAGGGTTTTTCTTAAAGATTTATCTTTTATTTTATTTATTTGTTTGTTGGTTGGTTTTTTGACACAGGGTTTCTCTGTATTGCTTTGGAGCTTGTCCTGGAACTCACTCTGTAGACCAGGCTGGCCTCAAACTCATAAAGATCTGCCTGCCTCTGCCTCCCAAGTGCTGGGATTAAAGGTGTGTGCTATCACCGCATGGCCTTAAAGATTTCTGTTCATTCTTTTATGTGAATGTCTTAAGGTTTCCATTGCTGTGAAGAGACACCATGACCATGGCAACTCCTATAAAGGAAAACATTTAAGTGGGTGGCTTACATTTTGAGTCCTTATCATCATGGTGGACATGGAGAAGTGCAGGCGGACACGGTGCTGGAGAAGTTGTCAAGTGTCCTTCATCCTAACTTGCAGGCAACAGGAAGTGGCCTGCCTCACTGGGCGTGGCTTGAACATAGATGAGCCCTCAAAGCCTGCCTCCACAGTGACACTCTTCCTCCACAACTCCATCTACTCCAATAAGGCCATGCCCCCATTAATGTCACTTCCTTTGGGCTTATGGGGCCGATACAGTCAAACTACCACCGTGTATGAGGTTTTTTGTCTGCTTGCTTGCTTTTTGTTTTGTCTGTATGTATATTTGTGCACTATGTGGCTGTCTGGTGCCTGTGGGGCTCAGAAGGCAGCACTGGATCCTCTGGTTGTGTGAACTACCGTGTAGGTGCTGGGAACCAAACCGAGGTCCTCCGCAGGAGCAAGTGCCCTTAAACCGCCAAGTCCACGTTTAATTGTGACCAATTTCATTCCACACTCTTTGCACTTTGCTCTGTTCCCCCTCCCTCCTCCAACATTTACATTCAAGAACCTTGCCCCAAATTGGGTGCTAATTCCCAGGGCAAGCCAGGAGTCAGGTACTTGGCAAATATACAACCACTCAGTGAATGGAATGGAATGGTGAGAGTTATAAAAAAGCAAGAATTGTGCCCCAAACATATTCTGGGAGAAGAGGAAGGACTCACAAGGTTTAGAAGAGAACAGAATCTTCTTTAGCCCAGAATATAAATAAGAACCCTGCCCACCTTCCTCTCCTCCGGGCTGTACCAGACTATTTTTTACAGACATTTCTTCTGTTATTCTCACTTGAATCCTCCTTATTCTTGTTTTTCCAAGAGAGGCCAAGGAGTTTCCGACAGTTTCAAGAGAGAAGTTCGGCCAACCCTCCCGCCAGCCTTTCCTACCCAAAGACAAAGCTGCCTATCTTGGTGGCCCGGCCCAATCACACCTCCCGGGACAAAACTATCCTACTCAGCGTCTAGTTGGACTTCATAGCCATTGTCAACAACTAGCAAAATAAGGTGAAAAGCGCCTGCCCCAGCCAGCGGGGCAAATCAGAACACACTCACACACACTCACACACACACACACACACACACACACACTCACACGCACACGCACGCACGCACGCACTCGCCCGCGGGCCAGCCAGGCTCCGCCCCATTGCTGCACGCTCCGCCCCCGTGTCCTAGCAACAGGTAAACAGTGCAAGGTTAGGCGGCGGCGGTGAGCGGGACGCAGGCGCTCCGCAGCGGGCTCCCGGGGTGCGGCGCGTCCCAGCGCCTGGAGTGGGCAGAGCCGGGCCTTTCGTACCAGCAGCTCGGTGGCTGACTGCTTGCTGAGCTCGCCCAGCTCCCCCGAAAGCATCTGCGCCTCCGCTCACCGCGAGGGCGTCTAACTGCGGCCACGGCCGGGGCAGGCGGCAACGCGACGGTGAGAGCGCAGCGGGGCCCCGGAGCGGGCGCGGGGACCTCGACGCCGGGAGTGGGGGCTGGGGTGCGGGGTCTGAATCTCGAGACTGGGGACTGGTGTTACAGTCGCCTGCTCTGATGAGAAAGACTTCCCCTCCCCACCCCATCCTCAGCCATTTACCTGTGGACAGACACTGACCTTGTTTGGTCCCTTCCTCTTTGCATAGTCTCTCCAACCTCCAAGTCTATTGGGCCGTTTGTTCTGCTTACAAACTCTCTAAGCCCTCAGCCTGCTCTCTCAGTATTTCTGCCTGTGCTGGCGTGATTCTGGACGCTCCTGGAACCCTTTCCCAGCATGGTTGTTTCATCAATGCATTTGTGATAAAGGGCAGGTGTCTTGTTCCGTCATTGGACTGAGCCTCCTGTGGACAGTCCTCTCCTCTGTGTGTGTAGGTACAGAGACAAGAACACAGAGAAAGTTGGAAATACTTGTTGAGTGAATGAAAAAGTCATCTTGAAATTGAGAACAACAGAAATACTTGTTTTCTGTGCTCTATACCAGCATTGCATCTATATTCATTCCTTTTCAGGTGGCTGTGACCAAACACCCGAAGAAACAATTTAACAGTTAAACTTACTCAGTTTACACTCACAAGTTTCAGTCCCTAGTAGTGACGAGGGCATGGCAGAGTTCCCGGCAATGGTCTGACCGTAGCTGCCCGCATGGCGGCAGGTCAGAAAGCAGAGAGAGCACGATCTCAAAGATGCAATCATAATGTGAAACGTTTGCTTTCCAAGAGAGAATGAAAATCAAGCCAGAGGCTGGGAGAAAATAATCTGACATCAGTATATGACAAAGGCCTACCTCCACACTAAAGAATGCTCTTACTGCATTCTCTCTTTGGAAAGCAAAGGTTTCACATTATGATTGCAAGCTTAGCAACTTGTTCTTCATGATGTTGTATCTTTTTCTGTTGCTGTAATTGAATACCGTGACAAAACTGAGAAAGGCTTTATTTTTTTGTTTACGGTTGCAAAGAAGATGGTCCTAGTGATGGGGAAGGCTTGGCTTCAGGAGTGTGAAGTCAGCTGGCCACCAGGAAAAGGGAGCAGCAAGTAGGCTCCAGCTGTAAAACCTCAAAGTCCACCCCACCCCACCCCACCCACCCCATCCCAAACAGCCCCACCAGCTGGAAACCAAGTGTCCAAACACACAGACCTACGGGGACATTTCAGAGCCAATACAGCACCTGGTTTGTGCTTCCAATAGGAATCTTTGCCAACTGAAGTTCATAACGGTCTCTAGAGGTTTTGTGACTTGAGATTTTATATTGAGGTCTGTGATGAGTTTTGAGGGTTTTTTGTTTGTTTGGTAAGGTTCAAGAATTAGTTGGTGTTCTTTGCTTTTGTGTTTTGCTGATGGACCTTCATTATTCCGGCACCATATACTATAGAGAGGGTAACCCTTATAGTGATGCTTTCCCTGAAAATGAGTTCCTCATATCCACGTGCATTTATTTCTGGACTCTATTCTGTTCCCCTGGTCTGTTTGTCTATCTTGACACCGCTAACACACTGTAGTCTGATAATGTAGCTTTATAAGGTAATATTAACCCTCCAACTTTGTCCTTCTTCAAAGTCCTTTGCATTTCTGTATGGATTTTGGAAATGTCTACGACACATGGGAATTTCGAATTAATACTTAAAGCCCTTATCTTACATCCTTCACAAGTCCGTCTAATTTTGGAATCAATTTTCCAAATTTTTAAATTACATTTAATTATTGATTTGTGTGTGCATATGCACACAGGGCATGGCACACACAGGGAGGTCAGAGGGTACCTTGCAAGAGTGAGTTCTCTCTACTTACTTACCATGTAAGACCTGGAGATTTAACTCAGCTTGTCTGGCTTAATGACAACTGTCCTTAGTTACTAAGCCAGCTCGCCCACCCCAATTTGCCAATTTCTAAAAATGTCAAGTTCAACTGAGCATAGTGGTACACAACTCTGATCCTAGCACTCAGGAAGCAGAGGTAGATGGATCTCTGAGTTAGAGGCCAGCCTGGTTTACATGGTGAGATCCTGCCTTAAAAACAAACAAACAAAAAAGTTAAAGATTCAGGCTGGAGAAATGGCTCAGGGGTTAAGAGCAGTGACTGCTCTTCCAGAGGTCCTGAGTTCAATTCCCAGCAACCACATGGTGGCGCACGGCCATCTGTAATGAGATTTGGTGCCCTCTTCTGGCCTGCAGGCAGACATGCAGTCAGAACTCTGTATACATAAAAAAGTTAAAAATTCATAACTTTGATATGAATTTTAGTTCTCAACCTATCTTAGTTAAGGTTTCTGTTGCTGTGAAGAGTCACCACAGCCCCACAACCCCCATAAAGGAAAACACTTAATTGGGTGGCTTACACTTTCAGAGGTTCAGTCCACTATCATCATGGCAGGGCACAGCAGCACACAGGCAGACATGGTGCTGGAGAAGGAGCTGAGTCTACGTCTTGATCCACAGTAACAGGAAGTGAGCTGTCAACCACACTGAGTGCAGCTTGAGCAATGGAGACCCCCTGAAGTGACACACTTCCTCCTACAAGGCCACTCCTACTCTCTCAAAGCCACACCTCTTAAAAATGACACTCCCTATGGGGGCCATTTTCTTTCAAACCACCAGACAGCCCATTTAAAGGTTAAGACCTGTGTACGTGCATACGTGTGCACACACATTTTGTTGCAGTTTTTTGAGGTAAGCCAAGTGCCATTGACATTCAAGAAAGTGTAAAATTATAGAAGAGCTGGGAGGTGGTGCACACCTTTAATCCCAGCACTAGGGAGGCTGAGGCAGGAGGATCTCTGAAGTCAAGGCCAGCCTGGTCTACAGAGTGAGTTCCAGGACAGCCAGGGCTACACAGAAACCATGTCTCAAAAAGACCAAAATAAATAGACAAATAAATGAGCCAACATTCAAAATCTTTTGTTTGCTTGTTTGTTTTCGAGACAGTTTCATTTTGAAGATGAATGATACTTGTCCACCTTGAAGCACAGCCCTCTGGTGATAAACATGATGGCAGGAATCATTTGCTAAAAAGTGCTTGCTTCAGTCTGTTGTCTTGTATCCACATCTCACTTAAATCTCATGACTGCTTGAGTAAAAAGTACTTGCATAACAAGTACCAAAATACATATGTGTCTCCTGTCTGTGTATCTTGTTTTAAATTTAATTTTTAGTATGCAACCCTCCAGAGATATTCAAGAATAGTTTGGTAAAATAAATCCCCATAGATCTGTGGTTTCTCTTCTTTGTAGGGTGCAGAGAGTACTGGCGAATCCCTAGTCTTTTATTTCATCTCTGCAGCTTCAATGTGCATCTCCGAGACATGTGCACACCAAATGCCATTATCAGACCTAACAGACAGGGTTCCCCGTTTTCCTCAAAAATGTCCTTTCAAAGCTTATGCAAATAAGAATGCAAGAAAGTGCCAAACAAAAAAGGGCATGGGTCACATTGGGTTTGGTTTCTTTAAATACAAACAGCTTAGTAAGCATCTGTCACATTAGATTGTGTTTGATTCTCCTGCTCCAGGCAAGCATTTTTTAAAAAATGATATGGAATATTTGTACATATTTGTGGGATGCAATACAATAATGTGATATATATAGACATAAAATCAGACTAATTAGCATTTCATTTCCTCCAACATTAATCAACTCTGTGTTGGGAACTTTCTGGCTCTTCTAGTTATTTTGAACCACAAACATGTTTGTTGTGGTAGTCTGGATTTTTTTTTTTTCCTTTTAGTCTTCCATTTCCCCTTAAAGTCAATAAGGAAATGTGGGAAATTACTTCAAGGCAGGGCTTGATGGCACACGCCTTTGATCCCAGCACTTGGGAGGCAAAGAGTCAGGTAGATCTCTGTGAGTTCAAGGCCAGCCTGGTCTAGATGGTCAGACCCTGTCTCCAAGAGGAAGGGGGGGGGTGAGAGGAAGGAAGGAAAAGAGAAAGGAAGGAAGGAAGGGAGGAAGGAAGGAAAGAAAGTAAAAAAGAAAGAAAAAAGGAAGGATGGAAGGAAGAAGAAAATCACATCAAAGTGATAGAAACTAATTTTCTCCCCTTGGTTGCTCTTGTCTTTAAAAGTCAGGTAAAGGGAAGAAAGGGAAAGTCCGGGTGAAGACCTTCGGGAAGAAGCAGAAGCCTAAGAAGCCGGAAGCTGACATCCTTAGCCCTGCGGCCATGCTGAACCTCTACTACATTGCCCACAATGTTGCCGACTGCCTGTATCTTCGAGGCTTCCCTTGGCCAGGCGCTCCCAAAGGGAAAAGGGGGAAGAACAAGATTTAAGTGAAAAGAACAGAAGGTGGGAGAAAGCACTCAGGATAACTCAAAGACGGCAGGCAATATAGACTTACTAAAGACAAGGCAACCAGAAGCACAGAGCCGGTAAACTCCTCTGTGGTAAATGACAGAGCAATGCACCTTTATGTCACAGCTAAGCCAGGCACTAGATGGCTTCACTTTGGTTTTTCAGAGGTAATCAGGAAAACCAAACCCAAGCGGTGCTTAAAGGTAACAACAACATTGGTAGTGATTTTTATGGTATTATAATCATAGTTCTGGACCTGAATTAAACCTTGTTCTCAGAAGGCAGCTCCAGTTTGCAATGAGTCATTTTCTTTTGCAAGAAGATGTTTAGAGAGGGCAGGGCAGAAAGCACAGGTCTACCTTGTGAACAACGTCCTCTTGGGCTTTTTCTGCTGTGCTTTGGTTTTGATTTTTTTTTTTTTTTTTTTTTTTTTGCTTTTGTTTTCAATGCTGGGGATGAGCCTGGGGCCTCTACTCAGGAAGAGCTCTGCCATTAAGTTACCCTTAATCCTTCCCTTTTTCGATGAAGTGGAAAATAAATAATTTGTTTTTATTATTTTCTGCTTAGCAGTCTTTAATTTGAATTAACTACAAACTCCAGGGGAGACTAAAATTGTTAGAAGTGTTCTAATCTTCCCAGGTATGCAAGCCCATGACTGACACAATCTGGGGCCAAGAAAATGGCTCTGGATATAGTGCTTGCCATGAGTTTGATCCCCAGCATCCCCCATGCAACCCGGCACTGTGGTGCATGCTTGTAGCCCTGGCACTGCGGACATCCCGTGCCTGTGACAGGAGGATCCTGGGGTTTTTCTGGTCACTCAGGGTCAGTGAGCTCTGGGTTCAGTGAGAGACCCTGGAGGAAGCAATTAAGGAAGATACCAATGTCAGTCGGTGGCCTCTGTACACATGCACCTGCACACTCGGACATGGGTACAGGAAGGAGAACACACCAGAATAAGTTTTACGTCCCATGTGGCAGAGGCCTGAGGAACGATCTTTAAAGAAGGAGGACTTTTTTCCACTCACGGTGTCAGAGGCTGGCTCCTTTATTTTGGGAATGAGACAGGGCAGACTAACACACTGAGAACATGCGGCAGAAGAGGCTGACCATCTTACAGTTGCCAGGGAGGGCAAACCAAGGCAGAGAGGGGCCAGGGACCAAACACTTTTCTTCCTTCATGTCTTCCCTGAAGCAGGGCTCTCACTGTGTAGTTTAGCCAGCCCAGAACTCACAGTGTAGACCAGACTAGCCTAGAACTCAGAGATCTGTCTACCTTTGTCTCCTGGATGCGCATCATTATACCAGACTAAGACACACTTTTCAAAAACAAGCCTCCAGTAACCTACTTACTCCAAGCAGGCCCTGCCTCCTACAGTTTCCGCCAACTTCACAGTTCAGCCACGCCTCCATTAGTGTGGATTAATTTACTGATAAGATTATAGCCCTAGTGATCCAGTCATCTGTGATTAGTACTGCACCACAGCTAGACCTCCACTACATGAATCATTGTGGAACATTCCAGGCTTAACCCTGGCATCCTGCCCTTAGTCCCCAAAGACTCAAGATGTTAAAGGACATTTGAGAATCCCCCAAATTCTCACAAGTTTCCAGGACTGCCCAAAAATCTAAGTCCAAGTCTCTGAGACTCGAGTCCCTAGCTGTGAGTCCCTGAAAATATGAAAAACAAGTTACAGATTTCAAAGGCCTTGACACCCCAACCATGGCACTTGGAAAGAGGCAGTTGCAGGTGTAGGTGGTGTCCCTGATTCATCACTCCGTACTTGCTGTCTTAGGTTTCCATTGCTGTGAAGAGACACCGTGACCACAGCAACTCTTAGAAAGGAAAACATTTGATTGGGTGGCTCACTTACATTTCAGAGGTTCAGTCCATTCTCATCATGGTTGGGAGCATGGTGGCATGCCGGCAGACGTGGTGCTGGAGTAGTGGCTGAGACAGGTAACAGGACAGCAGTTAACAGGAAGTCAACTTGAGACACTGGGCAATATCCTGAGCATGGCAAACCTCAACACTGGCCCCCACAATGACACACTTCCTCCAACAAGGCCATACCCACAAAGTCACCCCTCCCAATAGCGCCGCTCCCTATGAGGTTATGGGGGTCAATTACATTCAAACGATCACACTTGCCCCCTGCCCTGCCTTCCTGTGCTTTACAGGTCCTGTGCTCAAAGCCAGCTCACTCCAGGCAAGCACCATGGTAGAACAGACACATTCCACTTTGAGTTATGTTGCCTTGAGGGTGACAGAGGTTTATGAAGTTTGCCAAAGGAGGATGCAGCCCGGGACAGATGTCAGAGTCCCTGCGCTGGAGAACTTGAGTGCACCTGACCCTTGTGAGTTGGTAGTGGATGCAACCCATCTACCTGAGCACAAGCAACACAAGCCCAAGACCGGCTGCCAAGGGGGTACTTCTGTGGAGAAGCAGACTGTCCTTTGAAACCAGGACTATCTTTCAGGTGCTGGGGATTGCTGTATTCACTCTAGTGACTCATTCACCTGTCATTCAAACCTGTCAAAGAACAGACTGCTGGATGCTCATCCGGGGGGAAGCATGTACCGAAGGATGTGTCTTGCACGGGCTCCCAGGTCAATGCTGCCTAACCAACTTGGCGCTAAAATGCTCATTGAGTCTATGAACTTGTGGGATGCTTAATGACCTTGGGTGCCTCCCTTGGATGCAGGAGTTTGTATTAGAGCAGCGTGTGTTCTGGAACACTGGGGAGACTCCCACCCATTGTTAGGTACAGCATGGACAACGGTGTTTAGGGAGCTGGGGAAACGTGAAGGTCAGCAGACATTCAGAGACCGATAAATCCACCTGGAGGTAAGAAGGGATGGGAACAATGACTACAGGAGACTGTCTGTTTGGAAGGGGGAAAGATGTGGCAATCGCATGTGCATGGGGACGCTTTACGATCGAAGTTCCCCACTCAAAACTGATGGCCTATAGTGAACAAGACAGGCAATGGCAAATGCCAAATTAGGAGGAACTAACATCCTCAGATGTCACCAAAAGATTGTAAGCGGTTCAGCTACTGCAACACACTTTGACGTGGGCTGGTTAGGGAGGCACCTCTACCAACGCCGGCAACCTGAGTTCCAGAGACCCAAAGATTAGGAGAGATCAGCATTCCCTCTCAATTGTGTCCCCTCCCACACTGGCATGTGCATACCCACACATACACTGTTAATAAATGCTTTAAAAGAAAACAGATTGACAGTCTCTGGACATTGTGAGTAGAGTTATTGTGTGGGCAATGGTTTTACTGCCTATACGTGCTCCACAAGCAACTACTCCAGGCATGCATTCTTTTCATAATAAAAAGACCCAGAAGACAAGTATTTGTTAAAGGAATGACTCGTGGATGAGCAGTACGGGAGCAGAGGAGGGAACCAGGTCCATATATGCTGTGTCCCGCAAAAGCTCTGTGCTCTAGCTTTCCTTCCTGAGCCACCAAGCAAGGTGTCCCAGAGCCATGGGGACACCACAGGAAGCATGGCTCTCTCCTTACCTGTCACAATTCTTCTAGCAAATCCACCCGCAGTGACTGTCCTGACCTGTGTTTAGACCATCCAAGCAACTTAGAACTCGGCACTTTCACTAGAGTTTGTAAAGAGAAAGTGTGCTTCTGATTTCTTGGCTAAAAAAGAAAGTGATGATGGAGGTTTTGCTTTCTGCCCTCTGCCTCTCAAGGAGTCCTCAGGAAAGCCCTCATCAGATGCCACGGCTTGGATCTTCGCTTCTAAGCCTGTAAGAAATAAGTTTCTGTTATTTATAATTGCCCAGATTCTGGTATTCTGTGGTAGCAATGCCGCGAACTAATCTACCAAATAACCTAAGACCATTTTTAGATATGTAACTAAGGGGATTGAAATCAGGGAGTCAGAAATGTGCCCATGCTCACAGAACCACTATCCACACAGTCAGAAGGGAAGAAATCACCCCTATCTATTCTTAATGAATAATCAAAAGGTGGTAGAATATTTGCTCTTAAAAAATGAATGAAATTCTGAGAGTATAGCATGGATGAGCCTTAAACATGTATGGACTGTAAACTTTTTCTTCCCCTAAGCTGGTTTTGGTCAGGGTTTTATCACAGGGACAGAAAGCAAGCTAGGACAAACTAGGTCATTGTCAACTACACAATGAGTTGGAGGGCCTGCTTGCGCTACAAGAGACCTTCTCTCAAAGCAGCATAAAGTTGTGCTAACTTTATCCTAACAGCCATAAGATAAATCACTAAGGAAGAAAAGTTAGTAACTTGTATCATCTCATGCTCATACAGCAATCTGTTTAGAGACAGGCTCTCACTACATAGGCCCAGCTGTCCTGGGACTGACTACATCAACCACGCTGGCTGTAGAATCAGAAGATCTACTTGTCTCTGCCTCCTAAGTGCTGGGGGTTCAAGGTATGCGCCATCACACCTGGAAAAAATCCAAACTATCAGTTGACTCTCATATGCATTAGGTACTGGCTCAGTGTTAGGAAAATCAGTGTACTCAAACTCCTGTTATCTTTTTTCCCTTCAGCGCCAGAAACAACCCAGGGCTCTGGCAAGCATCTAGCGATATTCCCAGCCTTGACTCTGATCTTTGCAGCCACTTTCCATTTCCAGGCTTTCACAAGTACTCAGGTCCTCTGGAAGAGCAATACAAGCTCCTAACTGCTGAGCCATCTCTCCAGCCCCAATTTTACTTAGACATATTATGTTTTTCACTTAACATTATGAATATATATGAATATGTGTGTATATACACATACATTATATATATATATATATAGAGAGAGAGAGAGAGAGAGAGAGAGAGAGAGAGAGAGAGAGAGAGAACACATTGACATGGACTGAGGGGTAACTTTCAGATGCTGAACTGAATATGTTCATGCTATTATCAATGTTTTCACGTTTATTCTTGTCTGCAGTAGGGCCCTGCATGGACCCCCGAGGCACCCTTAGCAAGCCTGAGCTGATGGCTGGAACATTCTGCAGTCTCGGCTGGAACATCTTGCCCCAGAGTTGTACTGGTTCTCTGCCTGATTTGCTAACACACGTCTGCTGGGGAGGAGCTAACCCGAGAACTTGCACACTTGACCCTGGATTGTTTTCCACTGTGCTGTGAGTCAGTATATAAGCCCGCTCCTTCCCCTCAATAAACGGCATTCGGCATTCTGGTTGTGAATGGCCCGCTGTCTTGTCTCTTGTTTAAATCTCTAGACCTTCACCGGATTAGTGAAACAAATTGTACCGCGGACGCTAC